TGCTCTAACAATGATAAAAATAATTGTAATACTTTTCAAACTAATTAAATGTATGGTCCCTCTAAATTACTAAATTATATTAGCTATTAAAATTTATGGCATCAATATAAAGATTCATACGTAAGTTAAATATGTTATATTTACATTACACATTTGCATGTAGTCCAAATTTAAAATGTAATATATCAATTATTTAATATAAAATTTGTATATATTGTATACATAAATATAATATATATAAATTTTTATTTTTTTGTGCATGTGCACAGGATGAATACTAATTTAACGCATTAGACCTTTTAAGGATTTGAAAAGACTTTATTTGAAATAAAAAAAAAAAAAAAAAATTGATGATGTATTTAATGAGATGAAATTTGTTAAGGCTTTTTAAAATTTTGTTGAGAAAACTTTACCCAAAATATTTCATCTATATTTAGTATATAATTAAATCTTTATCTATTAACAAATTTTATGTATGAACGCTATTTTTTACTCAATGGTAATATTCATTAGTTATAAATTGATTTAAATAGAATATTGATTGACTACATATAATCTTTGACACAATTAAAAAAAAAATACTCATTAGTCATTAGGTTTATAAAATTTGATTTGATTAATTATATTATGAACTCATGGTTGTAGATTAATTTTATTAATTATGTTCACCGATCAAAATCACTTAAAATATAAAACAAATAACCAAAATAATTGTATTTGAATCATATTAACTAATGAATAATTTACAATATTAACTAACGATAAATTTTAATTATCAAACAATAAGTATTTAATGCATCTGAATTATAATAAAGGAAAATAGATTTGATGAGTTAAACATTAGTTACTTATTGAGCAATAAGCAAAACATAAATTTTCATAAAAATCAATAATTTTATAAGTACATATAAATAATTTATATACAAACATCCTATTCAAAATCTTAGATATTAATAATATTTTATAAACTTATAAATACAAAATTTATCTATTAAATAGTCCGTACTCATAAAAATAAATAAAAAAAGTATTCAAATAAATTTCATATTATTATTGACTTAATATATTGTGTCAGACATAATTATCATATTATCAAAACTATTGTATCGGACAAAATTATTATATTAGCAAAACTAACTTAACCTTATAGTATATATCCCTGCATTGTATCAATGCTAACTATTATAAATTAAATGTGAGTAAATTAGTTGATAAATTGATAAATAAAAATACTACAAGTACATAATAAATGTATATTTGTAATTATATGTATATTTGTACATAACATTAACTTGAAATAGGGTCTATTTAACTTTTGATTTTAATCGGTTTCATTCAATGTGAATGTTTCCTCAAGAGTTTTAACACTGTTGTATTCTCATGGCTCGAATTCAAAACCGTTGATTAAACTGGAAGAGACTCAAATCATCTCATCCAAGCACTAATAGTATTCCTTTAAGAAATAGCGTTGATTGCACGCCAAATGAGCCGCGCAACGAAAATTCTAGAACTTATCCTCTTCGAATCTGACCCATTATAAGTAACCCATTTCCCCATCCGAGTCCAATCCTCCGATTCTCGTGATTGGCCGCGTATTCTGCTGTTCTGAAATCTCTTTCGTCGTTGACCTCGCTTGTGGCCTGAATCAGGTAACCCGTGTTTCTTTTCGGGTTCAAATTTGATGTGAATTTGTGCTTTTTATCGATCGTGTTGGGGTTTGTTTTGGGTAATCGAGGCTTCGTGGATTTTGGTTATGGATCTATGCAATTGCTTTGGTTTTTTATGTTTAGGGTTTGGATCTTTGCAATTCCCGTGCTCCTTGATAATTGTGGTGGTTGTGTGTGTGGTTGGGTGTAGGTTTTCTGTGCTTGATACTGATGGCGTCGAAAAGGATACTGAAGGAGCTTAAGGACTTGCAGAGGGACCCTCCGACGTCTTGCAGTGCCGGTATATCTATCTCCTCGTATTCTTTTATCCTTATTGTTTGATGTATTGTACGCGTTTATGTGGTTCTAAACAGCTTGGTTGACTTTGCTTGATGATTCTTGGATTAGTTGATATGTGTTGGTTGGTTATGTGATGCGGGGAAGTTATTATAAGTGTTGCTTGCAGAGGTTTCTTGTCTGAAGATAATTGCTGTTCTGTACTGAGTTTGATAGTTGAGCCCCTTTCTGTTTTTTATAAGTTGAATTGTGGTTAGATTGCTTGGGTAGTTGTTCTTGAGGGTAAAAATATAAATAAATTAGCACCTTACACCTTGTGGTGATTCGATGTAGTAAACTTTGAACAAAAGTAATTGACAGCGTATAGGTTAGATTCCAGTTGTCTGTGCAAAGCCTTGGTTATGCTATTTGTGACTTGTACTTTTTTTTTAATTATGCTGGATGTGGCTGGTTATGTTGATGTTCAGATGCATGTTTCTACTTCTTCTTTTAAGCTGGTGTTCTCGCCTCTGTAGACGTGTGTTTCTGAAGATATAAGTAAATGTTAATTGCAGAAACTACCTGCCGGGCTCCGCTTAGCTAAAAATGACATCAAAGTTGATTCTCTGTTCAACATCTATACAATCTCTCTATTTTGGGTATGTTGTTTAACCTTTATCATTGAACAAAATGCAGGTCCTGTGGCTGAAGATATGTTCCATTGGCAAGCCACAATTATGGGGCCTACTGATAGCCCATATTCTGGAGGTGTATTTTTAGTTTCCATTCATTTCCCTCCGGATTATCCTTTCAAGCCACCAAAGGTATCACCAGTTAATTAATCTATTTAGATGTGTTCTTGTGCTTTTATTTTTCCTCTTAACATAAAAGGTCCACTATGTGTTGCTGTGATGATGTTGATTGCTGAGTCATATAGTTTGGCAAAGTAAGTATAACGGCGGAGCATATGTGTTATAAAATGGTCGTGTAATAGTTGCAGACAGCAAGAAAAGCAAATGCAAGATGATTGGTTGTTTATCTTTTAGATTGGTTGATATTAAAGGGTAACTGTTTCTCTGCCTTTAGCTCCTTTCTAAAAGTTTCCCGGCAGGAAACCCGTTCTTTTTTAATGTTACTAGAATGATAAGTGGCCATCTCGATGTTAGAATCCTGGAAGGAACAAATGTGTGATTGTTAACTAGGCACTGAGTCCTAAAAGTTTGTCTTTTATTGATTAGTTTTTTTCTCACGCCAGTGTTAAATGCCTGGGCATATTTTTTTAACCTTGTTTGATGAACTTTAGTTGTTTGTCACGATACTTAAATTCTAATTAGTGCTTGGGCATATTTTTTTAACCTAGTTTGAGTAACTCTTATATTTTTACAGGTTGCTTTTAGGACGAAGGTGTTCCACCCCAACATCAACAGCAACGGAAGCATTTGCCTTGATATTCTAAAAGAACAATGGAGTCCAGCATTGACTATATCTAAGGTTATATGTAATCCTTTTTTATTTGTCTGTCTGTTTTCAAACTATGGTACGATATTATTGATAAACGCTACTCTTGTACTATTATGTGAAAAGTTTAACCTGCCAATAGTTATTCATACAAACTATTCTTTTATCCATTTACAAACTATCCAAAGACTTCTCATCATGTTCACATTTTCTTATATTTGTTGAATCATTCAGGTTTTCTATTTTATTCATCTCATCACAGTTTATTTGTACTTAACAACGTGCTTTTTGTGATATTGTGGGGGTGATTAATAAAACTAGGTTCTGCTTTCTATCTGCTCATTGCTGACGGACCCAAATCCCGATGATCCACTGGTGCCAGAAATAGCTCATATGTACAAGACGGACAAGGCCAAGTACGAGTCTACTGCCCGCAGCTGGACTCAGAAGTACGCAATGGGTTGAATTTTGAATCGAAAAAACTACGCGACTTCTGTGTATCTCGTTTGTGCTTGGTTGGACAAATCATTACTATTGTTATTCCTATTTGCTTATACTTGTTGACTGGTTGTGGTTTAAGCTGTGAATGTACTAAAATCTGCCACCTTGTTGTATCATGTGCTTCTATTTATTGGGAAATGTTTTTTTTTTTCTTCAGAGAAATTCATGCCCAAGTGAGGTTTTTAACTATCGAATTAATATACGCTCGTATGGAGTGTATGTAATTCGATGAATAAGGTTCGCAATGCTTTTGGATTTTGTGAATTGCAGAGATCTTCTATAAGTGACGTGAAGGTCCTCTTCTTCTTAGGGGGGCCTATTGCTACTTTGTAGTGGCAACTGGCAAGCTTCAAGTGTACAGTGAGTAAGGCCCAGTTGATAACACTGTGGCTTGAAAGCGAACTCGTTTCATCAGCCCAAATCTCTTATTTGAGAGCTCTGCAACTCAAGCTAGTGACCCAGCAAACAATCCAAATCACTATTCTAGCATATTAATAGTGCATTTAACAGTGAATTATCCGTAACTATTTACCTTCAAGATGCATCACACACCAGTGAAGATATAATGTCTGAAGATATGACATTTTAAACAAGATTTTTAACATTTGAGGTGAAGATATAATATATTTGAGGATATGATAATATTTTGAAAAGGATTTTAAAATTTACGGACATAGGTATGTCAGTATATTTATTTTATATATAACTAGTGTGTTATCCGTGCGATGCACAAGTTAGTTTTATTAAGGTAAGCATTTAGAATTGGATGATTGGAATAAGGTAAAACACATGTATTGGAATAAAACAAAATGTAATTTATATATTATTAAACACATCTTTGTACACAACATTGTTTGTTTGGTGTTTTGGTACATCGTCTATCGGCACAAAATAGAATTTTTAAACCCTTAAGATTTGTAGCGCGTGAAACAACCACATAAAACTGGTCGCGAAGGCTATTATATGTCGTTTTATCTATGTCCATGTGAATTTTGGCTAAATCTAACGGTAACCCCCGAGTGCCGAAGAAAATTAAGACTCGGGCTGAAGTTCCATCGGTAGAAAACAACATACCTCTGTGTAAATCGTATTTAAGAAAATAAACACTTGAAACCTATATATATTAGCATGGGTCTGAAAATCGAACCGATCATCGAAACGGTGAAGCTACCGGTTCAATGGTTCACTGGTCGGACCAGTGGTTGAACCGGTTTAATAATATATATAATTTTTTTATTTATTTTATATGTATAGATAATTGTATATATATTTTTATTATTAATTTTATAATATATAATGACATTTCTCTAAATAAGAATCTAGAGGAAATTGCAAATTTGGTCCCGTTAGATTGGGACGGTTTCATATTTAGTCCTAAAAGGCACATTTTCAGTCCTTAACTAATGTTTGTTCCGCATTTTCCCAAATTCAGTTCTTAATTAATTTTTGTTCCGAATTTGGTCCCAAAATTTAACGGACAATGAAGTCACCGTTAACCATCAGGACTAAAATTGCGACCGTGGGACTAAAATTGGACCGTCACAATCTAACGGGACCAAATTTGTAGTAGTTGATATTATTTTCATTTTTATTTTTATTTTTTAAAATTTTATTAAATTCTATAGTTATATTTTATTTTTTATCAACCACTATAATTATAATAAAAATAAATGATGATTTTAAAAATATATTCGATATTTAATTAAAATATTTGAAATATAGAAAGCATTGTATTGCAATTGAAACTTTTAATACATTAATAATAATATAAATTTGAATTTATATATATCAAATATATTTAATTTTATATTTTTGTTATATTAAAAATATATAAATATTTATTAACTTATTTAAATATATATACACACACACACACACACAAACACAATTGATCAGTCCTATCAACGAATTTTGACTGGTTCATTGGAAACCAGTTTGTTCAAAGGAATCCAATCATTTAACCGATTCTAGATTCAACAGTCAGTTTAGCCCAATTTTAAAAAAATAGTAGTTGATATTATTTTTATTTTACGTTTTAAATTTTTATTAACCTCTACAATTTTATTATTTTTATCAACCAATATAATTATAATAAAATTAAATAATTATTTTGTCAGTATATTTATTACTTAATTAAAAATATTTTAAATGCAGAAAAAACAATAATATAAATTCAAATATATTTGAATTTATATATATCAAATATATTTAAATTTATATTTTTGTTATATTAAAAAATATAAATATTTATTAACTTATCAAAAAATATATATATTATTGACTAGTCCATTCAACTAATTCAGATCGGTTCATGTTTGGCTGAGTTTTCAAACCAATAATAGTTGATATTACTTTTATTTTTATTTTTATTTGTAAATTTTATTAACCCCTACAGTTCTATATTTCTAATAAAATTAAATAAATATTTTTTAAATATATTTATTATTTAATAAAAATTAATTTTAAATATAGAAAACATTGTATAGTTATTATTATTATTTTTTTGGTCTCGAGACTAAATTTTTTACTATCACAAATTGTTTTATCCTCACGGAATAAAAAATACAACAAAAAGAGTAATAAAACTGAGAAAATTTCAAATTTGGTCCCGTTTGATTGAGATGGTCCAATTTTAGTCTCACGGTCATAATTTTAGTCCTGAGGGTTAACAGTGACTTCACGGTCCGTTGAATTTGGGATCAAATGTGGAACAAACATTAGTTAAGGACTGAAAATGTACCTTTTGGGACTAAAAATGAAACCGTCCCAATTTAACGGAACCAAATTTGCAATTTCCTCAAGAATCTATAATAGATACAACTTATAGTGTTTTCATAATGCTATGATATTTTAATTTTAGTTTTTATATTTTAGTCAATATTTAAATTACAAAATTGAGATAATAGATCCAATGCATGGGAAAAACCTTTACTCTCGTCTCTCTCTAACCCTATCTCTCTCTAAAAAAAAAACTCAGATCTGCGCCGCTCGAGCCTCCTCTCCGGCTCCCCCCACCCTAATCGATGTCGACCTCCTTCTAATTTGCCCTGGTTCGTTGTCTGAGTTCCGGCAGCTTGCGGCTTCTCTCTCCGCGTCGTGGATTTCGACCGTTCCGGTTTGCCATGGCGGGATTTCGAGGGTTGGAAGGTCCGTTTCTCTTGAAGCGATGGTCGTTTCTGGCAGCTTTCCAGTAGTCGGGGCGATGGACTGAACTTGGGCTCCCCTTTATTCGGCCTTCTCTGGTGTTGGGAAGGTCGTTTCCTCCGACGGCGACCGTGGTGGTGCCTTGGTGTTGGAGTGCGCGTGTGGGGGCCGGGGTGCGGTCTGGCCAGGTCAATTCCGAGGTTGCCGGGGCTGGAATTGTGCTGAGCCGTGTGTTTAGCGACATCCTCTCGGTGGGTTCTCGGTAGGAGTTGGTTCGACTTGTGAAGGTGCTTGGTGTTTGGGGCCGGATGGGAGGGCTATAGTCTAGTATTTAGGTTGTTTTGTGTCGTTAGATGTGTGTTTGTTTTGTGTTTTTTTTGGTTAGTGTGTTTGTTTGTTTCGTTTTGTGTTTCTGTTTTTGATCTCCCGTGTGGGAGTTTGTTTTCTCCACTTGTGGGAGTTTGTTATCTTCCCTTGTGGGAGTTTTTTTCGTTTTGTTCTAGTGTTTCTAGTTAGGGTGGGCTTGTTTAGCCTTTTAGGCTACAGTCGTCTCGACTCGTAGGCCTCTCAGTTTCAACCTTTGGTTGTTCCTTTCGGTCATTTGACCGCTTGTGTTTATCCGTGTTATTATTAATAGAATCTGCCGTTTGGAAAAAAAAAAAAAGATCCAATGCTTGTATTTTAATGTTTAATTATGATTTTATGTTTTTCATAATGTTTGGTGCGAGATAAACAATTGATTTATAATATTTTAAACATATCCATTTAAAGAGTGGGTAAGTAACAAATTAATATTTCAAAAATTTTGAAATCAAGGATTTCAAATCCCTAATGACAAACATAGCCTCGTATTGAAGCGATGTAATCCTTTCTTTTCTTTTCTCTCACTTCCATCTATAACCCAACTAGTGTGCATCCCGTGTGATTCACGACGAGCTTGTTACTTAAAATCATTTTTAAAAAATTATTTTAAATATAATTATTTATAATTAACATCTCGTTATTGCAATAAATAAAATGCAAAATATAAAAAAATATAAAATATTATTTATTTGAATAAAGTGAGTTTCCACAACGAAATCAATAATATCTAACACGTGATATTTGATAAAATTAATTATATGCATCGTCGTGATTTAATTAATATATATATATATATATATATGTTTACACACACACACACACACTATATTTAAGACTTGTACAATTAAAATTTGTAAATTGGATATGAGATGAAAAATGACAAAAATATTTTGAAAAAAGTAAAGTTGTATTATTTTTTAGGACATTGTCTTTTAAAAAAAAGTAGAAATAGATAAGATAATTAATTAGTACATATACAACTACGAAAATAAAATAAAATAAGATACATATATAGAACTATTCACTAACTTTGTTGTATAATTATATTTTACATTCAAATAAATCATCGATTGATTTTATATTCAAAAATTAATTATAATTAAATTAAATTTTCATATATAGAACTCTTCATTAAATTTGTTGTATGATTATATTTTATATTCAAATAAATCATCAATTGATTTTATATTCATAATAAAAAATCGTTAATTTGTTGTGTGAGTTAGATTTTATATTCAAGTTTATACCTCATCAGATTTGTATATATGTAATATATTATGTGATTTCGTCTTATTGTTTTTTTTTTTTTTTTTCCAATATTAATTCGTATATCTACTTACTATCTTCTTATGGTTTGATTCCCTCTCCAATATTTATCTTAACTAATTGTTCATCAAATATAATATAACTTAAATTCTAAGATAAAAAAATGTACTTAATAATAAATATTTTACGTG